TGGCCAGTTCTACCGCAACAGTCGATCACCTTCTAAAAGACCATGGAAAACCCCAGTCCCAAAAGTGGACTTTATTATAGAGGGAAACATGTACATAATATGATCTTAACTATATCGCAAGTACATAGGTTTGCATACCTATCCTTGAAGATTATCTCTTCCCCTTAATTGAATCGGTGAAGAATATATTTAAATATGAAGCTATAAAGAAATTCATGTTTTTAAGCTACATAGATATAGATAGAGATATTGAAAAATCACATCCTTTTATGAAAATAATTGTGAGTTTTTCTTACAGTTGATGAGCTTTCAAATATTCAGTTTAAATCAATATTTTTGCGAATCTGTAAATTCTAGAGTTAATCAGGTTGAAAGTAGTCCCGGCAGTGTGGGAAGGATCATGAATATTCATGAGATATTGAGTGGATTTTATGAAAGCTTTTTATCCAGTGGAAAATTGACAGCTGTGGCTGAATTAGAGGTCAATCAAGTTTCTCAAACAACCATTTGTCAAATGTCGAGATTTTATCTTCAAAATAATTATATAATCTTGAGAAGGATATAGTAATCATTTAACCGTACTGTTGTCATTTTGTCGGACATTTAAATCCTGTTCTTATTAGATTATTGAAATTAATTCTCATTCTTATAAGTGTTGTCATTGCTGGATAAAAATTTAGTTGAATAGAGATAAATGTGAAAGACACTTAAGGATTTGAAATGATGAGGTAAAGTAAGATGTGGTAATTTAATGTCAGCAATAGGCTTATACGTATCCCGTTCGTTTGTTTAGCACCTACAGACATTCAGGAATGTGGTAAAGTATTGGCGTATGTTGACTCCTTGGGGATCATTCATTTTTTCCCCGATGCGAAGTGCATGGAGGCGTTTTTTTATTACGTGCTATTATTATTATCTGAAAGTCAAGGATGCTCAAATGCTTCTTTGAATGACAGGCTCTTCTATGTGTTACGATTCTCTATAGCTATTTGCAAATCACAAAGGCCTTGTGTCTGTAATGAGTTTTTTAATGTAACTGTGATCCGTTTTCTTTCTTTCCACGATGGTGAACTTTTGTGAGATGTACTCGTTTTGTTTTCACCCCCTGTTCATTGACGCTGGTTCCCTCAAAAGCTAAGACTTGCCTTTTCAAGTGCGTTCATTCTTTATTATGTCTCTGAAACTCAATACTGTTTTCCTTCTCTTTATCAACCTTCCCAGGATCTCTTGTGAACTGGTTTCTTTTAAATACATACTTTCTTTGGGGTTAAGATGCTTGCCTTCTGATCCCAGGGTCCTAGGTTCAATTCCTGTCACAGTTTTTCTCACCACCAAAAGTAAACTCCACTCCCTAAGCCTCATAAAGAGACTTGGTTTCTTATAAAGCATCATTCTCATCCTGTAAGTGGTGGGTGTTCTTGCTGTTGAATGTGAAGGGGAAAAAAATTACCTTCTTACCTTGAGTGGCTTCATTAGACTTGTTTGAGGTTATTGTCAATTTTTAGTTTTTAAATTGATTGCAGGTCTACCTTTGGATCGTGTTCCATACATTGGTTCCACAAATAATATGGACTTTCATTTCCATGGCTATTATTGTAATTGGTTATTAATTATTGTTATATAATTATGTAGAGTACAGAACTTATTGGACATACTGCAAAAACTAAAATTAAATGTTATTTTAAAATTAATCATATCCAGTTTACTGTATCTTCTTTCTATTTGTTTCTTATATTAATTCAGTCTTTGTCTAGTTTGTGCAGTTGCCAGTTGAATTATTATTTATCTATTGTTTTTAAGTGCTTTTGTCTAATTATATTTCTATTTTGTTATTATAAATGGACATTACTAAGTTTTAGTATAGTTATTGGGTGTTAATAGATGGTAATTATTCTTATGCACAATGGACAGATGGATGGATAAAGATCAGATTTTCACTTACAATTCAATACCCTTGTGCTTATTTTACCATTATTAACTTTTTTTCATAATTTTATATTTTTTATGTATCTTAAACTTTTCTATTAACTTGTGAAGAAAGTATTTCTAATTTTCAATTGAAATACTTTATGGTGATTATTTAAAAATCAAGGTAGAGTTTTTTGCCATCATAAATAGCTCAGAGGGAATCGGCAGCTTCCAACAAACACTGGTTCGCATCGTTAGATCTCGTATGTTTGAAAACTACCGTCTTAACTCGAAAATCAATGATTTTCTCCTATTTTCTTATGAACTCTACCTTCTATTATGCTTCATCTTTTAATTAATCTTCAGATATTCTCCTCTGAATGACTTGATTCCAGGCCTTGGCCTGCCATTGAACCAAAACTAAGCTAATCAACCATTTGTCTGTGTGTATTTTGAATGCTGCGAAATATGCATTTTGAACGATGCTCAGACAACGCTATTTTTGGCTATGCCCGTTAATGAAATATCTGCTTGATTTTGAATTATTGATGACAAATTTATACCATTATACTGACAGGACTGAATCGTAGTATTTGCCCATTAAGTTGATGAATGTTCATTGCACCCTGAAGGTGTTTTTCCTATGCTAATGGTAAAGATGAGTTGATAAGGTCAAACACTTTCAGTTCAATGATTATAGTATTTAAAAAAATAGAGATTCAATCAAGGCATTGACATTTCTTTTATTATATATTTATAAACCTTTTATTTTATCAAATACGGTGGGACGGACGAAGAAAAAAGTAGCTCCTGTAGGTTCCATACAAGCAAAATCTCATCCCAGGATTTTACTCATAAAGTGGTAGCAGATCTATTCAAAATAGAGGGGCCCTGGGAAGGACTTCGATCGAGAGTCCAAACCTCCTGTACACCACCATGGTTGGCGCTTGGTAAAAACGTGTTATGGTTATAACACCTTACGATAACTAGAAATGCTATTTTCAAACTCAATTTAAATTAAAAATTTATTTCACCCATTTTTTTCTTAACTTTCAAATATTTGGGATTTCGCTGGGCCACATATATCTTCCCCCCACCTTGAACTACCACTGCAAAGGGCCAAAACCACACTATATCAGCTGAGAAAACATTAGCGGAGATCATCAAAGACAATAACAGTTTTTAATTGTAGCGTATAATCGGTATATAATTGAATCAAAAAAGATAGGTATTTTGTTTATACCATTTTAACAAGCTTTATTTTTAAATGATGAGTGCCAGTACAGACAGAAAGAAAATTTAACCAAAATCATATGCACAGAGGAAAAAATAAAAAATAAAATTTTATTGAATTAGAAAGTGCAGAAAATATTTATTAAAAATAAAGTTTTCAAATTTTTTTGGCGAGTAGAGAGGATGTAATAAAATAATCGCAGGTACCCGCTTGAATAGCCATGTCAGCATTGATTTAGTCTGACATTTATTAGATTGAATATTTTGTATAATTTAAGTAATTTTTTTTCTGTATTTAACATAAAATATTATGATTCCTATTTTTTACATATACCCATAAATTGGTTGGTAATGTATTGAAGAATTTTCGAGGTAGGAAAGGTTGTTATTAAAAAAGCGCTGTATTGAACTTAACTATATACCGTCTGACTTGCTGCATCAGTAGTATTATACTTTATATGAGAAATTGGTTGTTTAATAGTACAGTAAATCAGTGATACAACACTTCAGGACGTGGGTAAAGTGCTGTGATTGTTATTAAAAACATATCGCTACTAAATTCTCAAGTAAAAAACATTTTATTTAGTGCGGTGCTTATTTGAGAGAGGCGCTTTTTTGATAATTTATTCTTAAAAATAATGTAAATATAGGTGAAAGTGACATACTTTAGTGCATTAGACCTGTTTCTTAATGCACTCTTTGAGGCTTGGAGTACTAGCTAGTTTTCAATAATTTTCTTCACCCCTTAAGGATCACTTGGTGTCTTTGCTACCCGGTAAACTGATGCTACATCGACTTTGTGTTGCAGGCCCCTGTCCTAACTGCTCAGACAATCAACTTACCAAAATGAGCAATAAATATACAGTGTAAAAAAGTTAATAAAAACAATTTTTTGCGTGATCATTGTTCACACACTCTTTTAGTGTGCCTACAACATTTTATATTATATTTTCAAAGTGTATTATTTACTGGCTATCTCAAATTTGCCTGTTCTTAAGGCTAAAGTTGAAGTGTGCACTCACTAATCACACAAAATATCTACCGACTTAACTAATTTTTATATAAGACAATTTTGCTCTATATATTACTTTCTCATTTCAATCCATGTAATTCATGTCAAACAATGTAGGCAAGTAGCTAAATCCCATGACATTTACAATTGAAGTTGAATGTAATAATGTGATATCCATGTCCAAACATAGCCTTCAAACCTAGCTTTATATATTAAGATCAGGCTTTGGAGGAAAACTATTTTTTGGTACGTTGTACAACTGATTTTCTTAAGACACAGAAAGCATATTTGACAAAAAAAATCTTGGGAACTTTTAATGACACAGATTTTTGTATATTTAAAAATCAAATATGTTTTGGTATCATAGAAATATCAGTTGTACAACATATCAAAATATGTTTTTTCTTTGGCGTCTGTCTTTAAGAAGATTATAAGATTACAAAATTACAGCAAAATATTGGAGTGGAGTTGAATAGCTTTGTGGCTAAGATGCTTGCCTAATCTCAGGGTCCTGGTTCAATTCCTGTCACAGCAGGCCTGTCTCTCACAACTCATAACAACTCCAGCCTCTTAAGGAAACTTTGGTTGATAAAGCATTGTCAATTGTGTAATTGGCGAGATACTTGCCGTTGGATGAAAAATGAAACAGGTTACCTATAGAATAAAATAATATATAATGCAATCTTATATTTATATAAATATTGTACGTCTACTTCAGTTAGTGTTTGGTATATTTAGATATTGATGAAAAGCATCACAAGAGATCGAGAGTTCCTCATTGAATTTTAATTTAAAGTTATTATGTGCAATAATAATTTCATTGTAAATCTTTATTTTTTTCTTAAAGACTATAATGAAATCGTAAATCTTGAAGATCAGTCTACAGTATACATTTCAAATGCCTTCATCCTGTTTTATTCAAAGGGTCATGGTGAGTATATATTTCATCTTGTGCTATTGATATGCATCATCATCGTCATGAAAATTAGACATAAATACTCTGTTTTCTGCCATCAAACATTACAATGGAATGTTCCGAAGATAATCAATAATACTCAGGTAGATCGATTATTGTTGGTCTTTTTTTGATATTTTAAGCTACTTTTATTAAATGTAGTTCGTATGTGCTTTTACAAAGATGATATATTTCATATTGTTTGTAAGTCATTTTTTTATTCGAGATAGCAAAAAAGAAATTGTTGTTGCTGCTACAATCGCTGCTGTCAGTCATTGTCATCATCATCAATATCATGATCATCATCATCATTACATAATCATCACCATTCAATAAAACTGGCACAAAATGTTTACTTGGAGAAACAATGATGTAGAGCGTGGACGAATTCATTGGCCAACATATTGAGTGCCATGCTTAAGAATCATTGCGAAAGGGTTTAAAGGGAATGGTCAACACAGTTTGTGTGTTGGGGCCACCATGGTGTGCATGCCAGGCTAGAGTTTGAGGAAAGGTTCCAAGCAAATTGGCATACAGTACATGCTACATCACTGTAGAACTTTGTAGTCATGTAAGATCTGGTTCATGGCCAAATGTGATTCTGAATTGCGATAAGAATAATGTGTTGACATTATAGAATGTAAACGAATATTAAGCTTCAACGAAACACCTGTTCATTAAGTAAATGCAGAGTAATGACATGTTTGAGAAATGAAATGTCCTTATGAAACAATCCGTTTAACCTTCACGGATTTGAGATTTCTTACGAACACAAAAGGAACACCTGATGTAATTAATGTTATGAGCATATTCTATTTCAATATTTTCAATTAATAATGATAAGAAAGTAGCGCGAGTCTTTAACCTCATTGCCATTACTTGGCATTAGTAAAGACGTGTATAGATTTTGTCCACAATATTTGTAGTTTCTGTCACGTACACATTTGTCCATAAACAACTTATAATAACTTATAATTATTATTGATAAAAGAAGATATTACTACCAATTATTATCGTTATTTTATTTAATGTGAATTTAACTTTGACCAGTAGCGTAACAGCTCCCACTGGCTATTAAAGCCAAGGGGCCCCAGAAGATTTATCAGCATTTTTGCCCCATACATTGCCTAAGTGGGGCCTTTCTTAGGAGCACTAATGTGTAAAAAAACTCATCAAAATACTTCTTCAAAACATCAAATACGCCAAAACATGGTGGTTCCCCCCCCCCCAGGGTAGTAACCCTGAATAAGCCTTCCATGGACCTCAGACCTCTTCATTGCACCATTGTCTTTGACTCTTCTCTTTAGTACTCATTATAATCAGTTGTCAAAGATTCGGTGCAGTTATTTTTACCAATGGTGTTGATATTCTTATGCGACGACAAGTGACTATTTTAGTAAAGGGCCACATTCTGTACTAATTCTCATATTTTTCTTTGAAGCCACAAAGTTAAGATATACTGTAACTCTGTTGAGGTAAATATTTATGGACTGGTAAGACTAACGATTTAGTTCGAAACTGTGATTGCTTTCAAGTACTGTTTTGTAACAGAGGTTCAGCAGAAGAACTTAAGGGTAATATGTGTTCACACTCTTATGCCCCTTTCAAAATTAACCAATTAGTCATCTGGATCAGGGGCAGATTTGGGGGGGGGGGGGGGGGGGCGGGCCCTTTAGGGGGGAGGAGGGGTGGTTGCCTGGCCCCGGCCCTCCCCCCTTTTTTGCGAGGTAAAAAAAGAAAAAAAAAGAAAAAAAGAAAGAAAAAGAAAAAATGATAGCCCACAACGCCTCAAATGTTATTTTCGGGCCTCTAGAACACAAAAATTTTGCGGGGGCATGCCCCCAGAACCCCTAGGACATTGTTGTCTCGATCGGCCCAAATTTCGGCCCCCCTTTCGGCCCCCTTTCGGGCCCCCTCCCCTTTTGGACATCTCTGGATCCGCCCCTGTGGATGTTGGAAAATCTATATAATTTAGTTTGAAACTGTGATTTCTTTCAAATACTGTTTTATAACAGGGGTTCAGCAGAGGAACTTAGGGGTAATATGTGTTCACTCCCCTTTCAAAATTAACCAATTAGTGATCTGGATGTTGGAAAATCAAGCTCTAGCAATGATTTAAAACCTCTGGAAGGTTGAAAAGGTAGTGCTATATTAACTACCATACTATATTACTCTTAATGCTGATGATTTTCTACTTCTTCCGGATTTCGCGCCAACTACAATTGAAAGCTTTGACGCAGGCTGCTTCTGCTGATGGTAGTTGTTGTTGTTGATGTTGTCATTTTTGACACTCCCGACTTGTTTGTTACAGTACGGTTTGATCAATCTATATCCAAAGTGCACGATGACATTAGCTAGCTTTGCTATGCTCCTGTGGTCATCTGGTCATCAAAAGCTTAACAAATGCATATGGTCTGGTTTGTTTAATTAACTCCTTTATGAGATTATTTCCAAGCATGGAAGTCAGTTTGTCCGAACTTGCTCACAAGTTCAGGGTCATTGTGCGAATTTGAGCTAATACCTCTTTAAAAGCAAATCTCATTGTCAAGATTACAGTAGGTTAAATATATCTGCTGAGTACAAAAGATTATTCTTATTTTTTGTATTTTCATACTTTTGATGAAACAATATGAGAGTAGAATTTTATGTTTTTTTTATGGCATTTTAAAAAGATTGTGATCGTGGGCCTATTAGTTTTTCTGTTGGCATAAATTTTACTTCAGCGATTTCAGGTCTCGGAAATTTCTCATGTTTATCAAGTGGGTAATTGATAAAATGAAATACAGTAAGTTTAAGTTCAAGAATTATTTATTCAATTTAATTTTTCATATGGTAAAATATGTACAGTTAGATAATGATTCATAATAATAAAAGAGAAAAGTACATTAGAATTATCATTTTGTGAAATTTATGGAAATAACCATTGAACAAATCTGGTTACCTCTGTATTTTAAAACATAAGAGTTAAAATATTCTTTTCATATAAATCAATAATAATGTTTTTGTGGCAATGCGGCAATGACACTGCTAAAGGAAGATGTTGACGGCTGGAAGCTCTGGAGATGTGGGTGTGGAAACAAATGCAGAAAGTTTGTTGGACTGAGAGAAAGACAAATGAAAGAGGTACTGAACAATAAAGAAGAAAAGAGAGCATTACTGTCAGTAAAAAAAAAAGAGGAAAAAAAGGAGAAAAAAAAAAAGAAAAAGAAAGAAAAATTGGATCGGTCATGTTTTAAGGGGAGATAGTTTGTTGAAAGAAGTCATAGATGGGCGAATAGAAGGGAAATAACCAAGAGGAAGAAAGAGGATAGGGGTGGTAGACGATTTAAAGGATAAGAGGCCTTATTTGGAAAATGAAGATAAGAGCGGAGAACTATGCCAGTGGAGGAGTTGGCAGCCAAGGACTTGCTTGACGGCAAAACACTAAAAAGAAGGACATGTAATTAAATATTATTCCTAAATAGTAGACGATGTTTGAGGGAGCACTTTTCCATCATGTAATATTATACAGTACGCAAACGGATGTCTCAGCATTTTGTTTTCATTTGCCGCTGTTACTGTTGACAAAGCTCTGCTAAGCCCACGTCATAAATTGCTATCACTTCCAGTATTACCATATGTTTACAAGCCACAGATGTACTTAAATTTGATGTATTACACACCCACATATTTCAGTTTATATTAAAATATTGTCAAAGATTTACATAATCATTGACAAATTGTACTAAGTGGTTTGTGTAAAATTGCCAATAATATTATTGATATAGATAGAGGTAAACACTCATAAACTCCATATACTATGAATAGAATAAATTTCAGAGAAAGTATTCTTGTTTTTTTATATGAAAATAATTCTTTAATAATGTGATGAACATAAGGTCATTTTATTCATTAATCAAGTAGACACTTCATAGAAAATCAGGGCAACTTGAATTTATTGGAATAGAACTAAATCCTGTTTCTAGAATTTCTTTGGGAAGTCTATTTTTTAATGCGTTCATTGTCCTATTTACTCATACATTCTTTAATTATTAGATTTATTCATTCAATATTTGATTGTTTTGTTTGATTATTTAATCTTTCTTCTGTTCATTCATTTATTAATTCACTCATTCATCTATTTTTTTATTCTTGTATTTATTTATTTTAATATTATTTTTCTTTTTGTTCATTTACCTAATAAATTCATTTATTATTCAACTTGTTCACTCGTTCGTCTATTTATTCACTTACTTATTAAATTATTATTCATTCATTTGTTCAAATATTTGCTAACTCATGTGGTCAACATAATAACATTGTTGTTATTAATGTTATGATTATTGTATAATTATATCTAATCTTTCTTTTTGAAGAATATGTTAGTTAATACATTGACTGTACTGTTAAATATGTTAAGTAATTAAGCTTTTCTTAATTTGGATTGGAAAATTAAAATGCAAATAAGTAAGATTAATGAAGATCTCTAATGATGCTGTCATGCACAGGTGGGAGTCTGTGAGGATATGAGAATAATGATGATGATGACGATTATGATATGAATTTATTAATTCACTCATTCATCTATTTTTTTATTCTTTTATTTATTTATTTTAATATTATTTTTCTTTTTGTTCATTTACCTAATAAATTCATTTATTATTCAACTTGTTCACTCGTTCGTCTATTTATTCACTTACTTATTAACTTATTATTCATTCATTTGTTCAAATATTTGCTAACTCATGTGGTCAACATAATAACATTGTTGTTATTAATATTATGATTTTTGTATGATTATATCTAACCTTTCTTTTTGAAGAATATGTTAGTTAATATTACATTGACTGTACTGTTAAATATGTTAAGTAATTAAGCTTTTCTTAATTTGGATTGGAAAATTAAAATGCAAATAAGTAAGATAATGAAGATCTCTAATGATGCTGTCACGCACAGGTGGTAGTCTGTGAGGATATGAGAATAATGATGATGACGATTATGATATGAATGAATGATGATAATGAGGATAATTTCAAGAAATCATTACTGAAGATAAAATGTATAGATGAATGAATATGATGATAATGGTAATAATGATAATGATGGCCTACAATTGATGATATGATGACAATGATGATAATGACGATGATTATGATATGATATGATGTTTAATGATGATGATGATATAATGAAAATATTTTTAAGATTTCATTGCTGAAGGTAAATTTTTTAGATGAATGAACATGATGGTAATGATAAATTGACAATAATAATAATTAAGGTGATAATGATAACAAAAGTGATGGTGATGAAAATAATGCAAGTTATTATGTAGTAGCAAAGATAATGAACATAGAATGTGAAGAGTGATGATATAGTGCACAATGATGATGATGGTGCCAAATTGGGTATTGTCAATTATGACAATGAAGGGGATGGTATATTAACTGTGAATGTGAGAATATGTTGATAATATTACAATAATATTATTGTCATCCCTAATAATATTTATTGTATAGGTTATCAAAATGCCACTGTTGAAGATAATGTTGATTTTTTTAAATGATTTGTTTTCCAGATCTTTTAATAGCCATAAACAGTGATGTTAATTTGTTACATCTCAACGACCTATAATTCATTGATGCAATTTACTGGCTTTTTCAGTGAATGGATATTAGTAGAACTGTTATGGCCCCCTCAATGTGTGGGAGTCTACAACATATGGACTGCAGCAAAGCATTTAATCTGAAATTGTTGATGTTTAATATCTGACACCCACACAAATTGTTTCATTATAAATTTGCATCCGCCCATTATTCAACAAAATTAGCTAATAATGCGGGCAGACAGTTCTATCAAAACCTTTGTGAAGAGACACAAGACTGCTACAATATGCCACAATATTTTCACTCTAATTTACTTTGATGTTCAAATAATTATCAAATTTGTAACCAACGTATAACCCATATAAATATGGAAAAGTGCCATATACAGTAGTTTACAACAGTTGAAATTTGATAATGATAATTCCCAATATTTATAAAGCAGCTACTGTAATAATATTGTAAGACCTTTAAATGTGTTTTTATTTTTGTTTTATAAATTATATTATAATTTTAATATTAATTTATTTCACATCTAGGAGCATATACAGACTCTAATTTCAAGATGCTCTATAGACCAAGGTTTACAAAATTGAGTTGATTTTCAGCTGTAAGATCCTGTTTGCAGGATTTGAACCAGCAATCTTGGTATTAAAAGACAAGCATGTCCAACTTAGAAATTTCTTATTATTTAGAAATCATATTATAACTAGGTTATCTCTATACTTCCTTTCCTTCAATGGTAGTAGTTCGTCAAACAGTAGAATGAAAATTATTTGTATTAAAGAATTAAAAAACGTGAGTATTACATGAAAAGTAATAGATAGCACCTTTAGTCTACGGCTTGAGATGCTGTGGCGTGATTGTATGTGATGTAATATTGCAAAAATTCTTCACTATAAACCAGATTGAACAATAATTTATTTGTGTAAAAAGAAATTTATATATTTTTAGATTTCAGTTCAGTATTGGGTGTGAAAGCAAATTTGTATGTTTTTTGAAAGGCTCCATTCTTTTACAGTGGCAGGTAGGTTTAATATCTAATAGGACAAAATAAATTTATTTTTATTCAAAGCATTTTTATCAGTTAGGTCTTGACTAATTTATGATGTAGTGAGCCCCACCAACCTAGAGGTTTTGTAACAGTTTTTTTCTGATATTATATTAATTGTGGATAAAAATATGTATTTTTCATATTTCATAGCAAATGTCTTATTTGTCATATCTTCTCATGTTCAATTCATGAGCTAACTCAGAACTTGCCTTATCATTACCTGCTTATAATTTATGCATGAGCGATCTCAGCCACGCTAAGTAGGCCACGCCTTGCAAGTAGTTCCAGTGCTTGATGTGGAATGAAAACAGAAATACGATACTTTATCTCAAACTTGTCACTATTTATTATTATAATTTGCAGATACAACCTTTTACTATGAAGCCAATGTTTTTTTACTGACCTGGGAAAATGAACATGACTAATGAAATCTACAGTAATAAGGAAATTTGCAGAAACATTTCTAATATTAGTAGCTTCTATTTGAATATATTTTTTAAATTCTTCCTGCTTTAAGGCCAAATAAATGAAACATGTTTGATGTTTCCTTGTTTCATGCGGCTATCTCTTGTTGTTACTGGCAAAACACAAAGGCAATCTTGTAGAAATGCTCATATTGTCAGCAATTTATCAGACCTGCCAACTCACCCGATCCTGTCGGGTGTCACCCGATATCTAAACAAATCTCCAGTTCTCCCAGATCGAATGTAGTTTTTAACCGATTTCACTGATTTTGCAGGTTCCATCCGCAAAATACTCTGATTTATGCATAAATGATTTATTGGATCATTATTATCCAATGTATTCGCCTCGATACACAAGCAGCAATTTAATAAGTTGTTTTGCAGTAATTTTGTACCATTGATTTTATACCACTATGATTTGTCTGGACGTGTCTTTTTTAGTACATTGGATCATCTTTTTGGTAATACTGGAAACCTCCAGATTTTTTAGTAAATCTCCAGATTTTTTTAAGATTTAAAAAAAAGATTTTCATGACCCAGGGGTTGGCAGATCTGATTTATGCTCATATTGTCATTAGCCATTTATGCTCATACTGTAGTGTCAGCAAATTGTGCTCACATTGTCAGCAACTTATACTCATATTGTCAGTAACTTGTGTCATATTGTCAGCAACTTATGCTCATATTGTCAGCAACTCTTATCCTTATATTGTCAGCAACTTACACTCATGTTGTAATAGTAATTTTTATGCTCATATTGTCAGCAACTTATCCTCATTGTCAGCAAATTATGCTCATATTGTCAATAACGTATATTGCTCATATTGTCAGCACATTTGCTCATGTTGTCAGCAAATTATGCTCATATTGTCAACAACCTATGCTAATATTGTCAGCAACTTATGCTCATATTGTATTGTCCTGGTATTATAGAGAAGCGAAATCCAAAGACAATATTAATGAAGGTTTTTGACATAGAAACATCCTCATAGTATTACTAATAATTATTCATATTTCATATGGTATGCAAATTACAAGTTTCTCAATTTTTTTCCTCTCATAAATCATCCTCAAATTAAATGATACAAATGCTCTAAAATGCAAGTATTACAGTATCCTCAAGTGTCTGTATCTGATGACAAAAAACAAAAACAAGACATTAAAAAAACAATCATTCTAAAACCATGTACAGACTAATCAAATTTTATTTGACAAAAACATGTGATATGCCTAAATATGGTCATGATGACATCACATCATGGGAATGCAACAGTTTTTTAAGTTACTGCACTATTAGCCTCTATTATTACATCCACTGTAAGCAGTCATTTTATACATATAAACATGTACTAAATCATCACAATAAACATTATTAGATTTTTCTATGCAAAGTCAATCATTGGTATTAAATAGCAGTCGCTCTCAGTAAACATATATTAAATTTGTAGCGTATGGAGACTCGCTTCCTGGAAGCTAAACAATGAAGGAAAATTAATTCCATAATAAACAAAGCTATCAAAGTACAGATACTGAATTATTTAAACAGATACTGAAATTAATTTTAGCAGTGTCTTTCTTGGAAATTATCGGCTATCAAAGGGATACTGCTGTTCAACTATTAAACTATTCAACTATTAAGGAAAACAAAGGAGAGCAATGCATTTTTAATGCTTATTTGAATATTTTTATATCCTCTAAATACCTTTTAAATTAAATTTGCTCATTTATTGATTTTTACACATTTTTCTATATTTCAATATTTATCTTTCGATTTTTTTTCTTTTTGAAGAATGTTGTATTGTAAGTATTTGTGTTTTTCTCGTGAAGGGCCTCCACTCGACAGTGATTGATTTTATTTTGGAATGTCCTGTCTCTTTTTTTGTACTTTTATGATTGTTCTTTGCCGTTTCTGTTATATGTACATTTTAATTGTTTGAGACAAATAAATGAAATGATTGCATTCTAATTACAAGAATTTCAGGTTTAAATCCAACTACAC